GCGACCTGCTCCCTCGAGAGGCCGGAGGCTGGGCAAGCGGCGCTCAGTGCTAGCATGGGGTTGCGCCCAGGCTGCCCCACGCGAGGGCACTGTCCCCTTGGGCCCTGGCTGGGCTCCCACCTTCCCTACGTGGCTGTAGGGGGCTAGTTCCTTGCAAGCCGGGGGCCGAAGAGCCCCCCTCCCCTGCCCTGTGTGGCACCCCCTGGAGCCCCGCGGGGGCAGCCAGCCAGCGGGTCTGGGCTGGGAAGGACTCACGTTGGCCAATCTCTGCTCCAGCTGCAGGATCTCCTCCGCCTTCTGCGCCACCTGCTCCGCTCCCAGCAGGCCCAGCAGCCGCTCCATGAACAGGCGGTACGCCGCCAGGATCTGGGCACGAGGCGAGGGGTCAGCCGGGGGGTGCAGCTCCAGCCTTGGGCGGGGGGGAGGGGCTCGGACCCAGGGGATCAAGGGGTCAGGCCTGACCGGGGGGATGGGCAGAAGGCTAAGGGGGGGTCAGGCCTGACCGGGGGGATGGGCAGAGGGCCAAGGGGAGGGGTCAGGCCCGGTGGGGAGGAAGCTAAGGGGGTCAGGCCTGGCCGGGGGGGCGAGGGCTGAGGGAAGGGGGGGGCAGGCCTGACCGGGGGCAGGGGACACAGCCCTGGCCGGGGCAGGGGGGGGGGCAGCAGGGAGTGGGGTCTGGGGGGTCACGTTCCCCCCCTGCCCACTGCCCAAGTCTTGGGACGTTTTGCTGGTGACGGGATTTCAGCCTGTCTGCTCCAGAAACTCTAAGCCTCCTACAGCTTCTGAACCCTCTGATTGGCTGCCTGCCCAACTAGCCCGCCCCCTGGGGCTGAGCCACCAATCAGCTGCTGTGGGCAGAGCTCCCGCCCCCACTGCATCCCCCTCTAGTGTCACGGGAGGGCGGAGCTAAAGAGCCCAGCAGCCCCGCCCCCTGCAGCCAGCAAGGACAGGACAGCGCCTGCCCTGGCCAAGGGGTGAAGGGCCAGGAGGAGCCGAGGTGGGGGGGTGGGGGCGGGTCTGGGGGGACAGTGTTGGTTTGGGGTCTGGGGGCAGAATTAGTGGCCAGGCAGGTGGGGCGAGAGCTCCTGTTGCAGGGTCCAGAGTATCTTCCCCCAACACCCCCACCCCCATACCTCCCCCCCACTCCTCCCCACAAACACCCCCCACCCC